GTTCAAACGACTTTGCAGTCTGGTGCATTAGGCCACAGCGCCACACCAGGACTCCTTAGTAAGTATAGACTCCCATTATTACTGTAGCAATGTATTTTATATTTTTAATCAAGACAGGTTGTATCCGTAATTGTGCTTATTCATGGAATCCTGGCAGGGTGCTGTTAGATAAGCACTGGACTGCAAAAGATCTGCAGTTCAAACCCACCAGTCGATCCTCAGAAATCTTATACAGGGTCATTATGAGTCATTTATGAGTCAGAACTGACTAGACAACACTTATTTAACAACAAACAGCAACAAAAGTGCTCATTTCATTTCAAAAACTCTATCACTAGGGATATTTTTTCCTGTGCAAAAATTTCAGAAACAACTTGTAGGGTCCTGTTGGTTTAAAGAACTAAAATTTTAGAAATAACTTAAGAACTATGTTTTACACTAGCTAATTTAAACTGAGATTCTGAATATTGAGTGCAAAGGGTAATATGGTGGTGGGGAAGTTTAACAGCATCAGAATTCATCCTCAGAGTAGACATGGAAAATACAGCACCATTGAGAGGTTACTAAGTAGCTGAAGACAGCAGTTAGAGAACTCTGTGTGCACACCTTAAGTGGACTCATAATTTAATTCCATGTGAAGAATAAACTTCCTCTGAATCTAAAAATAGGTATGAAAGGTACATTATGGCTATAATGTTTCTTCTATGTGGGACTAAGATACAGTGTCATCTTATATCTATCTATCTGTATCCAAGACTCCATGTTTTGGTTTGCACCCCATTCTGGGTCACATACTATATATTTTCATGCTTCCAAATGTCACATCTGGGCATTCATGCAAGCCTCAATCCTAAAACTGGCCGCATCAACTTTAATATTTTTAATATCTTTTCCCTAAGTCTCATCCTTATCCCTACATTAGAGTCCATGCTAGGAAGTTAAACTATAAGTTGTTTTTTTTTTTTTACTATCTTTGAGCAAAGGGGAGTTCTTGAGTGACGCAAATATTTAACATGCTTGGCTGCTAACTAAAAAGTTGTTGGTTCAGGTCCACATAGGGGTACCTTGAAAGAAAGAACTGGAGACTTCTAAACAATCAGCCGCTGTAAACTTTACAGAGCACAGTTCTCTTCTGACATACATGGGGCTGCTGTGATTCAGCACCAACTTGACAGCAACTGATTGGGGAAAGGAATTCCTTTACCTGTAGCCACTTCAGGTCCTGGGGCAGATGAGGGCAGGTGGGGACATAGTTCATTTGGTGAGGATGGACTGAACCACACCATATGAGGTATCTACCCATTCAACTGAGTCAACTTAAATCCAATGTGGCATTTTCCAGGAAGTGCACATAAATAATAAGAGTTCAAAACACCAGAGTAGCTGGGCCAAAATATTTGATGGCAATAAAGCGAACAGTTTTCCTTAAGCCTACTTTAAGTTGGTGTTTACAGTTCAGAGGTTTCATAGTTTCAGTTCTCACAATGAGGAAAAAGTATCATGAAGAAATGCTTCTGCTTATTTCTGAATTACAGCTAATCATTCACAGACCATCGAATTATTCATGTGGGGGATTAAATGAAACTATATAGAAAAGTCTTTCCAAAATTATAAACACAGTCATTATTACATAAAAATGTATATACAAGTCTTTCTCAAATGATAAAGACAAGTATTATTAAAAGACATTTACTTTGAAGAAGGCAACTTTCCCCAAGTAGGATCCTATGCTTTACCTTAACTAGTGCCCACATGGAGATACTTACTCTTTGCAGCATCATTATTAAATTATTCTTTTCTTTCACAAAATGATCTTGCTCCCGCTGAGCCTGCTGAACAATGTGATTGGCTTGTTTTTTCAATGCAGAAATTTTTTCCTAGAAGAAAGAAATGCTCATAAATAGATGTATATTAGACATTCAAAGCTTTGCCAGTCTGTACTGGAAAAGAGAAAAAAGGTATTTACAACTGGGAGAAGAATGACCACACTTTAGATGATAGTGTTGTTAACTGCCATCAGGTCAGTTCCGACTCATAGTGATCCTGTAGAGTTTCCAAGGAGTGGCTGGTGAGTTTGAACCGCTGACCTTATGTGGTCCAGTGCTTTATCCCAACAATTATACTCGTGTTGTTGTTAAGTACTTTTGAGACCGTTCAGACTGATAGTGACCCTGTGGATGATTTCTGAGGAGCTGCTGGGGAGTTTGAACCTACAACCTTGTCGTTCAAACTGACATTGCAGGCAAGTGCTTATCCTACAGCACTACACCGTTTGAGCCACCTAGGGTAACCCATCTGGTGGTTTATTGTTGGTTGTAGTCTAGTTGTTTCTGACTCAAGTGATGATCCAAAGAACTGAAACCAAACCCAACTGCCAACTGAAATGCCATCAAGTCAATTTCTACTCATAGCGACACTATATAGGGTTTCAGAGACTAAATATTTATAGAAGCCGGCAGCCTCATTATTCTCCTATGGAGAGACTGGTAGGTTTGAACCGCTGACCTTATGGTTAACAGTGAGATGTTTAATCCATTGTATCACCAAAGCTTCTTGTAGTTGCTTTGTTAAGTGCCTGCAAATTAGTTGTGACTTCATAGCTACCTTGTATAAGGTTTCCAAGGAGCGGCTGGTGAGTTTGAACTGCCAACCTCGTGGTTCAAACCGACCTTGCAGTCCAGTATTTTATTACACGGCACCTAAAGCTCCTTATGTAGCAAATACTACCCAGAGACTGTTTGGCTTTAACTTTTACGTGCCAAACTTAAGCATTTTTCTTTACTTAAGGTCAATACAGTTCAAGTGATTTAAAATCTATTTTGAAGAACTTGGATGTAAACAGGAAATCTTGTTTTAGACTATAAATGAATTTTTGACATTGTTTTGTAAGACACCTCATGGGAAAAAAGGGGGAGGGGGGGTTATTTTATTAAAATGCAAGTCCAGAAGTCCCTCATGCTTTCTTTCTCATCCCTGAATTTTACCAGTTTAATATAGAACTCAAGAGTGTGATTCTAAATTCTGAAGCAAGTGCTGGATTCTAGGTTGGGTATCTCAGTACTAGGGCATGGGGCCAATAATATGCACATAATTCCATGGACTACTTCTAATGACAGTAAGCTACCAGCCAGTTTTGATAACCATTGAACAATGAAAGGAAAGGAAATTCCAAAATATACTTTGCTCACAAAATTAGTCTGAGTCTAGTTACTATGGTTGCAAAAGGAAGTAATTTAGAAAAAAAAAATCTAAATTTTTATTTTCTGTGCTTTGCTTTCCATCTAAGAGGGGAAAAAAAAAAGGAATATCATTCATAAATGCATCTGCAGCATTATGTAACAACAATGACTGTAAAATCAAAGATTTTATGGCAGAATCCATAATCTGCCAAGTATGATACAATGTGATAAAACACTCAATAATATTCAAATACAAAGACATAGAGGCAGAGCAACTATACTTGAAAGCTATGTTAACCGCATTTATTTTCATGTACAAGGAGTATATGAAGATAAGTCATTAAGTATTGCTTCTAGGGTTCCAGTTCTTCTATGTTTGGGTTGATTTCATGCAAAACAAATTTAGACACATCTACAGGGTCGCTATGGGTCGGAACCGACTCGACGGCACTTAGCAACAAAGTAATATACTTAGGTTAGTCTCATTAGAGTAACTTCACACACACACCAAAAGAATTTCTTTTTTGTGCCATAGGAAAAAAAGATTTAGCAGTCAGAACTAATATTAAGTTTTTAGCAAAACACTGAAGTGGACGTCCAAAATCATAGAAGCTGTGCAACAACAGGAATGATGCCCCATATACAACAACAGCTTTTAGATGTGTGGGAAATTCTCAAGATGGTCCATCTTCAGGAATAAAGTGCACACAAGGTTGATAGACTAGACCAAGGTTGTTGATTCACAACCAACACCCATGGATATGTGAGCAGGATGAATTGGGGGAAGGGAGAAGGAAATTTGTTCTAGGACTAGGGACTTTAAATAAGAATACAGTCATTAAGTCCATGGGTGTCATTCTGGCTAGATTATGGAACTGGGGTGGGGGTGGGGTGGGGAGAAGGACAATGGGATGTTTAGGGTAGATTGTAAAACTCCATGGTACCAGTGAAGGGGGAACTGGAGGGGGAACTTTTTCTAGACAGGGAACTAAAACTCTTGGTGGGCCAGCCATGTAGTGTGTCTGTCTGTGTCTTCTGGGTTGGGCACACAATTTTACAAAATTGAATAAAGAAAACCCCGCTCTCACTAAAATGTCTCCAGATTGGATTTCTTGAGTGTTTGTCAGTATCGACAATGTTTCTCATAGGTGAATCAGGCCTTCTAAGGAAAGTCGGGAAGACCTCAAAGATGAGTCAAGAGAGGGAAGACTAACAGTCATGAAGAATGAAACCACTGTGGCTGAAGTCCAGAAACTGGTGGATGAAGACTGTAGAATTAATACTGATAGCTACTGAAGGCAAACATTTATTGAACAACATTGATAATATCATATGCAAGTAAAATTTTGCTACAGATAATTCAGAATCAATTGCAATAGTACATCTAGAGGAGGCTGCTGGAAATTCAAGCTGGATTCAGAAGAGGACATGTTGTTAAATACTATGGAGTCAGATCAGACTCAAAGCAACCATGTATAAGTTTCTGAGGAGCGAATGATGGGTTTGAACTGTCAGCCTGTGATAAGCAGTCCAGTGCTTATCCCACAGCACCACACCAGGACTCTAGAAGAGGACGTGGATCAAGGGATATCAATATCAACTCAGATAGCTCACGGCTGAAAGGAGAGAAAATCAGAAAAATGTTTATTTTGTTTTATTAACTATGCAAAGGCATTGGACTGTTTGGAACCTAACAATCTATACATAACCTTGTGAAAAATGGGAATTCCAGAACACTTAACTGTGCTTATCCAGGACTTGTACATAGATCAAGAGGAAGTTGTTTGATCAGAACAAGAGGATACTGAATGGTTTAAAATCAGCAAAGGTGTGTGCCAGGGCTGTATCCATTCACTATACTTTGCAATCTGTATTTTAAGCAAATAATGTGAGCACTTGGACTATATGAAAAACACACAGCATCTGGATTGGAGATATGTATGTAACTACAATACGCAGATGACACAGCAGGTGACACAAGTGTGTTTGTGGAGAGCAAAGAGGACTTGAAACACTTATTGATGAAGATCAAAGACAACAACAGTCATTACCAATGACTGCCTCAATGAAAAGAAAATGAAAATCCTCACAACTGACCAACAGACAACAATCATGATAAATGGAGAAAATATTATAGCTGGCAAGGATTTCAGTTACAAGGATTGTGGTTTGAGTCCACAACCAATGCTATGGAAGCAGCAGTTAGCAAATCAAAAGATGTTTTGAATTGGGCAAATCTAATGCAAATTATTTCTTTGAAATGTTAGAAAGCAAAGATGTCACTTTGAGGACTAAGCCTTGGTATTTTCAATCACCTCATCAGCATGTGAAACCTGGGCAATGAATAAGGAAGAATGAAGAAAAATGGATGCATTTGAATTATGGTGTTAGTGAAGAATATTAAAAGTACCATGGACTGACTATGGCAGTTGGAGGAACGGCAGTGATCACATGTCGGCTGCTGGGAAGAGCTGGATTCTCGTTTCAGGTCACTATCAGAAAAGCTAAGTTTGTAGAGTAAGGATCAAAAGATCTGATCCTGATTACAGAACCATCCTCATTTCAGAATCTTGGATATCCACTTCATCCTTCCAGACTACCCAAGAAAACCTTTTAAGACTCCAGCTGAGAAAACCCCAGGAGTTCTTGGAAGGGGAAGAAGGAAGAAGATTATTGGTTGGAATAAAAACAGGGTTGAATGCGGTCCAGAAACCAAGGGCATACACTTGGTTCTGTACAGTGAATGCACTCAGCAAACTCGTGGACAACAATCTGAAGAAGACAACTTCAAAAAGCCAACTAGAAGCAACATGTAGAGAAGTAAGATGAGAGGGGCAGCCTCTGGAAAGAAGACAGCTGGGCTTAAGCAGAAGAATCTGGAGCCAGCTGATGGTGGGGGGGCCCTGGTCACTCTGCTGAGAACCCCCCTTCAGGATCTGTGAGAAAGACAAGGAAGAACAAACAAGAGAGTCCTAGAAATGGAGATGGTGGAAGTACCAGTGAAGCACCTCAGCCACCTCGGAAGAAAAGGGCCCCCGGGCTGATCCTACCATTGAAAGTGAGGAAGCATTTAAGTATAGTTGGCTGGTTATGTGCCGTGGAGTCGGTTCCGACTCATAGCGACCCTGTACAGGGTTTCTGAGGCTGTAAATCTTTACGGGTAAAGAAAGCCTCGTCTTTCTCCGTGGGGCAGCTGGTAGTTTAGAACTGTTGACCTTGTGGTTCGCAGCCCGATTTGTAACCACTACGCTACCAGAGCTCCTTATTTAAGAATAGAGCAGAGGTTAAAGTGAAGATTCCTGAATAATTAAAACCCTGGCTCGTTGAGGACTGGGACTTGGTTACCAGGCAGAAGCAGCTGTTTCAGTTCCCAGCTAAGAAAAGTGTTGATGCCATTCTGGAAGAGTATGCAAGTTGTAAGAAATCAAAAGGAAATGATGATAATAAGGAATATGCTGTTAAAGAAGTTGTGGCAGGGATAAAAGAATACTTCAATGTGATGTTGGGCACTCAGCTGCTCTACAAATTCAAGAGGCCCCAGTATGCTGAAATCCTACTGACCCACCCTGATGTGCAGATGTCCCAGGTTTATGGAATGCCACACCTACTGAGGTTATTTGTGAGAATCGGAGCAATGTTGGCCTATAAGCCTCTTGATGAGAAGAGTCTTGCATTATCGTTAGGCTATTTGCATGATTTTCTGAAATATCTGGCAAAGATTTCTGCAGCCCTGTTTACTGCCAGCGATTACAAAGTGGCTTCAGCTGAGTACCATCACAAAGCCCTGTGAGGGTCTACTGACTGTCCACTGTTAACGCCTGTGTATCTGTAAACACTTTTCTTTTTGTTCTTAGTCTTTTTCTTATATAATTGATGTTCTCTAAAATTGTTAATGTCATCACGGGGCTTATATTTGCTTCAAACAGAAAATAAAAGGAGAGTGTAAGCTCCCTTTTGCATTTCAAAGTTGCTGCCAGTGTACGTAGTAATTAGACAAATAGAAACATTTAGTGGAACAATTCTTGCCTAGTTGACAACATTGCTTGAATACTGGTGGTTCTATCCCTTTGACACTACACAATTTTCTAATATGTGTTAAATGCTACATGACAAAATGTCCTGATTCCTAGTGCCAAAGGTTCAACTTAATGTATTTACCTGAAAACCCATGCAATTGTGCTCTCTCTCTATTTTTTTTAAATGGTGCTTGAAGTATAACAGCCCATCCTCTGCAAGTCATCTATGTTGTTCCTTAGGTATTCTATCTTTGTTCAAGTTGTTGAAGGATGGTGGTTTGTTTCATGGTTTTTGTATTTGGGTCTAATACACATTCTAACATGATAGAGGCAATGCATTGTGTAGCCGCGGTTTTCTGAAAAGTTGGTATTTTAGGAATTGTATTTCAGATCTTTAAAAAAATTTTGTTTCTAAATTTCAAAGCAAAAAAAAAAAAAAAAAGAAGTACCATGGACTGCCAGAGGAACAAACAAATCTGTTTTTGAAGAAGTATAGCTAGAATGCTCTTTAGAAGCAAGAATAGCAAAACTTTGTCTCACATGCTTTGGACATGTTATCAAGTGGGACCAGTCAGTCCCTTGGAAAGAGTAAGGCTGTGTGCTGACAGCCAGGAGACTGGCTTCCAGAACGTTCCCCCTGCAGTTGTTTAAACGATTATATATTCCTGTGTGTTTGTGGGTTTTTTTTTTTTGACTGTTTTGTTTTTGTACATCAAAGAAAAAAAGGGGGGTGGTTTCTTGATAAAAGAAACACTATATGATGGTTTTGGGGGGTAGGAGGAAATGATGCATGCACTAAAGGGTAGACATGCATTGACATGGGTGACAGGACAGGCAGTATACAACCAGAGGGAGGTTAGCACAGGAAAGATGAGGGTGAGGGGGCAGGGGCGGGACACGCAGGGAGGAATGCAGTGGTTGGAGTGAACAGAGCTAAATGCTGTTGGTGCATGGAGGGTATAGCAACCATATAACGAAACAAAGTAGAGTCCTAGTGTGGTGCTGTGGGTTAATGCACCAGACTGCAAAGCCATTTGAACTGCAAAATCGGCAGTTCAAGCTCACCAGTGGCTCCTCGGAAACCCTATAGAGAGGGTCGCTATGGGTTGGAACCGACTAGACAGCACTTCACAACAACAATGAAGCACAGTACATGATTTGTTGAATGTAAAACTGCTGATCTGCTCAGTAAACCTTCACTCAACTCACAATAAAAAGTCAAAAAAAAAAAGGGACCAGTCCCTGAAAAAGGACATCATGCTTGATAAAGTGGAGGGACAGTGAAAAAGAGAGAGACTCCCCAATGAGATGCACTTGACAGTGGCTGCAATAATGGGTTCAAATACAACAATTCTGAGGATGGCACGGGAACAGGCAGCGTTTTGTTCTCTTGTACACAGGATAACTATGATCCAGAACCAACTAGATGGCACCTAAACACAACAAAAACATGATACTGAAGTTGCGATCTCACACGGTTCTGCATTTTCAATTTTAAGTGACCATCTTGGTCTCATTAATTTTTGGTTCAATGAGTGACAAAGGTGTTTTGCAAAGATGAGCTAGATCAAAGAGCTGATCTTTCCATATACCTTTTAAGCAAAATCGAAGCTAATGAAGGGAATTTTATGGAACAAATTGTTATCAGGGATAAATCTTGGATTTGCCAATGAGATCAAAGAGGAAGATCCAATCAAATGAGTGGCTTCCAAGGAGATAGGTTAGACTACTTAAATTCAAAGCAGAGAGGTCAGCTCAGAAGGTTATGGTGAATGTATTCGGGATTCGTAAGGGGTAAATCTTGATAGATTTTCTTGAAGGATACTGGATGAACACAGGGTTTATTATGAAAAGATTTTTAAAAAATGGTAAATTTGCACTGAGACATTTTTTCCAAACACAACAATGCACTTGCTCATTCTTTGAGAGACAGCAAGGGCTGGCATAGAAGAATTTACTTGGGAAACATCCCATTCACCCTACAACCATGGCCTTGCTCTTTAGACTTCTTTTTATTCCCCAAATTCAAAGAACATTTTTTAAAAGGAATATGATTTGAGTCTCTTGGGATGCCAAAACTTCCATTTGACCTGGTGCAAATCGAAGAGGGCACAATTCTTTTGGGAAAAGCCTGCTGTTGTAAAGTGCCATCGAGTTGGTTCTGACCCTGTGTAGGGTTCCCAAGGGGCAGCTGGAGAAAAATGAAAATACCATCTTCAGAAGTATATAGACCTAGAATGAAGACTGTGCTGAGAAACAATAGCTTCATATTTTGATAGTTTTGTTTAATAAAGACTTCTACGATTTTGTAGCAATACTCACGGATTTACCCATGTATTTTATTTTATTTTTCACATTTAATGGTACCTGGCAAACTCACCTTTCTAGAAACAATGTTTCGCTGATATTCAGCCACTTCACGCAGGAGCTGCTGGGTCAGGTTCTCCTTCTCCTCATCTAGACGGCTCTCATGCTCCAGCTGCTGGAATTCTAGGTCTTCAAAGTGTTTGCTTTCAACATCCAACAGGTCAGCATCCTTTGAGGGACAGGGAATGAAAACATGACACACCGAATTGGGGCTGCAGCCTTCTTAATGTGAAGAAACTATCATGAAAAGCAGACAATCCAAAATATTTTTCTAGTTACAGGGCGAACCAGAGTTCAAAAATGATAATCCTCTCTTTTGGAATTAGATCCTGCAGTAGTGTCTGCAGGACTGGAATTAAAGAGATGGGGAAATTGATTTCACCACCAGTTTTCCAGTGCTATGTGAATAGAGGCATTCTTATCTTAAATTTACTAGATGGCTTTAAAATGGATCATGAAATATTACAAGAATTTCATAAATGGCTTAAATGTTATATACAGATCAAAAGTGTAACAGTACATTTTGCACATTTTTTTAAAATGAAGCAAGACAAACATACACAGTAAATTCAGGATTCAAGATTCATACAGAAGAGGTCTTTAAAAAAATAAATACATACATTTTCAACAGCACAAACACAATCTATTGGGAATGTGAGGAAAATACATTGTCCATTACTTAAGAGTATGTCAAAAAGTTTTAATGTACATACAGGTAGACTCTGTAAGTACAGAATCATATATATGTTGTTGTTAAGTGTCATTGAGTAAATTCTGACAAATAGCAACTCTGCATAGGATTTCTGAGGAGAGGTTGGTGGGCTTGAACTGCTGACCTTATGGTTAGCAGTCCAGTGCTTATCCTATAGCGCCACACCAGGAGGACTTCTCTGTCTATCTATCTACCTAAAGCATGCACATTCATGTGTGTGTTGTGACTCATAGCAACCCTGTATAGGATTTCTGAGGGGCAGCTGTTGGGTTTGAATTACTGACCTTTTGATTAGAAGTCCAGTACTTATCCTACAGCACCACACACAGATCAATCGATATATCTAGCGGCTTTAAAAAGTTTGTGGGAAAATGGAATGAAAAGATAATGGAATTTTCCCACGAATTTAAATACATATATACACTAATCCCTCATATACACATACCAGTATATATATATATATATATATATGGAACCCTGGTAGCGTAGTGGTTATGAATCGGGCTGCGGTTTCATTATGCCTTGAGTTTTATTGAAAGGCAATGAAAAACATTTGGATATTGTGATTCTTAAACTAGACTTCTTGAATCCCTGAAAATTGTTTACAAAGCTTTGTCTATATGCATTTTACTGCAGAGAGTGGAATAACAGTACCCATTAGTCATAAAAAGTGATCCAAAACGTTAAGCATCACTACCCTGGGGATTAGAGTTATGGTCTTGTAGGAGAATATTGAAAGTACCATGGACCACCAAAAGAACAAACAAATCTGTGTTGGAAGGAATACAGTCAGAATGCTCCTTTTCAGAAGCCAGGATGGCCAGACTTCTCATACTTATATTATCAAGGACCTGTTTCTGGAGAAGGACATAATGCTTGGTAAAGTGGAGAGTCATGGAAGAAGAGGAAGACCCCCAATGAGATGGATTGGCACAGTGGAAGTAGCAATGAGCTCAAGTTTAACAACAATTGTGCAGTTGGCACAGGACGGGGTAGTGTTTTGTTCTGTTGTGCATAGGGTCACTATGAGTCAGTACCGATGGCACCTAACAACAACAACAAACTCTGGGGATAAACTTGAGGACAATTAAGGAAAATAAAAAATCATGACAATCAAGTGATCCAGAATAGGTTTACTGCAACCAGAGAATCATCACATTCAAGCATAACTATTTGTGCTGAGATGGGTGAATATTGCAAAGTGATTCTCCAATCTCCAATTTTAAACACCCCTTGCTGTTGGAACCTTCCACAAAACTATAAATGTGGCATGTGCAGAATATTTTTTAAATGTGATTTATAAACAATCTATGGCCAAAAGAACAAGCTGGCCTATGTTGGTCAAAGATCCTCGTAGGTTAAATAACCAGGACTTCCTCTTGGCCACCCTCCTCCAAATGGTAACATGAAAAAAAAGAAAAAAACCTAGATAAATAAATAGATGATAAACTAGCTCTAAATCACTAACTCCACTCTACCATCTCCCTACCCATTTTTTATATAAATGATAAATTAAGTGTTTTAATCAAATGAAATGCATTTCTATCTGCTGGAATGAATTTCCCTCTGGGAATGATTCTCAGAGGACTATTAGCTACCATTAATTACTACCAACACTATACAAATAAGACTAATATGTCAACACAGACCAAATTCACAAAAGCTTAAGAGCAGGGAAAACAAATTGAAAATATATTCAGCATTTCTTAACACTTCTTTACATTTTATTTGGCCACATGAAATGTGTTGGTTTCTATTTTTTTGATTGACATTTCAAGTTTATTCATTAATGCTACAACTTCTAAAGGAATTAATGAATTTGAACCAAGTCTAGTCATTATTTAAGAATTAAGATATAATTCAAGTTTGTCTTGAAACAAAATATATGTAATTTTGATCTGAGTATCGGAAACAAAATAACAATTGATATGTTTATTCATACAGGAATACACACTCAAGTTTTAAAAGTATTTCAATTAAGCTTGGTTTGTGATTGATTAAAGATAAAAAAATTAATAAGCCGCTTCTATAAATAATCTTTATAAATAATCTTCAACGTGAACATACGGTTTACAACTCATGCACTATGCTAGTCAATTCCCTTGTCTACATCTGGTTAATACTCACAAGCAACATGTTTGTTTATTTTTTATCCTGCATCAAGTCTACACAGTCACTAATGTACTTCTGGTAAGTATGTGAACCACTGCATAAAAGTAATAGCATAACAGGCAAGCAAGTTAAACATTAAAACTAAGCTGAGCACTCATATCTGACTGGTGAAATCATTTGATCAAGTTATTCAAACCTTTATAATCTGTGTATATAAATTTACACTCTGAAGGAAAAACTATTTGGAAGGGAGAAATTTTAAAGGGTCTTAGAGAAAAATAAGCCAATGGGTGGGATTTAGTGGCAGGAATGGTTTAATTGAACACATAGAATGATACAGACAGAAACTTTAGAATCAAATGTATGACTATTGCTATTAAGTGTCATGGAGTCTGTTCTGATCCATAGTGACCCTGGATAGGGTTTCCGAGACTATATATCTTTTGGGGAGCACAATGTCTCATCATTCTCCCACAGAGTGTCTGGTTCGTAGTCCAGCGCTTATTCTACAGACCCACCCCCAGGGCCTAATGTATGACTAGTTGAATGAAAATTTTAATTGCATTTCATCACTTAAAAAAATTACAAATCTGTACAGCCTTGAAAGCTCACAGGTCAGGCATGAAAGGAAATAAAACAATTACACTAAAGAAAATTCAATACATTTTCTTTTATCTTTCTAATAACTTTTACTGAGAATTTATATGGCAGAAGTTTGCATGCAGATCTTCATGTTTTCTTTCCCGAGTGAGTAAATGAAAAGAAAACAAAAGATTTGATTTGGCCAAGAGAAATTGCAGTAATAATCCCTGATAATGCAATGCTAACTCTGAAAGCAAATTTAAATGGATATGCTCTATAAAACCAACCAGACCCATTGCCACTGAGTGGATTAGAGGTCATGTATAACAATCCTACAGGACAGAGGAGAACTGCATCAGAGTTTCCAAGGCTGTATTCTTTACAGGGGAGTCCTAGTGTGATGCTGTAGGATAAATACTAGACTGCAAACTGGTCTACCAGCAGAGTCTTTGAAACTCTGTACAGGGTTGCCATGAGTCAGAAACAACTTGATGGCACACAACAACAATCTTTACAGGAGTAGACTACTGACTCATGTTTCTTACATGGAGCATTTGATGGGTTCTAACTGCCTTCAGCTAGCAGGTGAGCACTTAACCACTGCATCATCTGAGCTCCATATGCTTTACAATCAGACATGTGAACTGTATACTCTTGGGATTTGGAAATCACTTAGTACCAACTCCTCATTTTATACATGAAGATACTGAGGACCACAGAGGTAGAATGCCTTGTCCAGTATTAAAGCACAAACTGGTTGTAGAGTCAATGATAGAGGGGGAAAGTTTCCAAACTATAGATATCACTTTATTGAATTAAAATAAAATCAAAAGAATGAAGTCAACCATTCAGCTGAATAAATATCAAAAGCACAACAAAACTGTCCCAGCTATCAGTCCGTTCCACTTAATAGTGGATGCTCTCCTGAAAATGAAAGACTTATTTAATGTCAGCCTCTTTTAAACACTTCTCACATCCCAGGGAATAGTTCTACTGGTGGGTCTACATCACCTACATATCAAGTATATTTCATCAAAGCACCATCAAATGAAAAACACAATCAATCTGACTCTGATTGCATAAAGTCAGATTTATGCATAAAGGTTTAGATGCATAAAGTCCAGCCAAAAATCTGTGTTTTTTATATATAAAGTCATTCTAGAACTTCACCTGAAGTATTTGATACAACACACAGTTTAAGAAAATTATTTTCTTTCTAGTCATTTATTATCATTATTATTATTTTGCATGAATGCCACCTAATGAAGTTAGGAGTAATAAATCAACTTTTCTGAATCTAGTTTACATGCCTTGGAGGAAAACTGTAATGTTGTGGTAATCTAAACTATCTGAAGCTGAAAAGGAAATGAGATTATGGTAACACAGAAAATTTCTAATATGAATGGACATATCTTGAAATATGTGAACAACATCCATTCATGCTAGGGTCTTTCTGTGCTACCATCATCTCATTTCCTTTTCCACTTCAAATAATTTAGATTACCACTTCATTACAAAGTTCCCCCAAGGTATTTAACCTAGATTCATTTAAACAGATGGTAATTCATACACAGTTTTAAAACATTCTAAAAATAAATGAATAGACAGAAAATAATTTTCTTAAACTACATGTTGCCTTAAATAAATTGTTGTAGGTAATTTTGCATGTACATATAAAACATGTATTAATGGATAGGTTTCTTACATTTAAATCATCTTGAAATAAGTAAACTTTATGGTGATTAAAAAACATGTTTACTCATTTCAAGATGATTTAAAAATGTAAGAAACATATCCATAAATCTATGTTTCACATGTACATGCAAAATTAGCTACAATTTTTAGTGATTAAGGAGTCCTTGTGTGGCGCTGTGGGCTAATGTGTCAGAATGCAAAGTCGTTTGAACTGCAAGGTTGGTGGTTCAAGCTCACCAGCTGCTCCTAGGAAAACCTATACTGGGTCACCATAGGTCAGAATCAACTCGACGACACTTAACAACAATAGTGATTGAAAGGAGCCCTGTTAGCACAGTGGTTAAGCACTCCACTACTACCCAAAAGATTGATGGGTCAAACCCACTAACAACTCTGTAGAAGAAAGATGTGGCAGTATGCTTCCGTAAAGAGTATAGCCTTATGAACCCCATGGAACAGTTTTACTCTGTCCTATGGAGTCACTATGGAGTCCTGGTGTGGCGCTGTGGGTTAATGCACCTGACTGCAAAGCCGTTTGAATTGCAAGGTTGGTGGTTCAAGCTCCTCAGAATTGCAAGGTTGGTGGTTCAGTTGCTCCTCAGAAACCCTAAACAGGGTGGCTATAGGCTGGAATCAACTCGACAGCACTTAACAACAACAATAATATAGGGTCACTGGAGTTCTGTTGTGGCACTGTGGCCTAATGCGCGGGCTGCAAAGTTGCTTTGAACTGCAAGGTCAGCTGTTCAAGCTCACCAGCCACTCCTCAGAAACTTTATACGTGGTCACAATGGGTCAGAATAGCCTCATTGGCACTTAACAACAATAAGATAGGGTCACTATAATTCAGAATCAGTTCAAGGGCAATGGGTTTGGTTCTGTTTTGTTGTTTTATATTAACCCCAGGGGATCAGTAAAGTGTTAGGACCTTATTCCTGGAGAATGGAATTTGTAGATGTCTTAATATCAGAGGAACAGAAGCTACCATAAACCAGTCATTTCTCCTAATGTAAGGGTTTCACGATCAGAATTTTACACTCTAAGAGGAAAGGGAAGGAGTACAGTCTCTGCATCATTTCCTTTCCCCTTTTGTAGTAAACATCCTTAGATATCTTTTTTTTTTTTTTTTTTTTAATTCTGGATTATCCTAAAGAATCTAGATTAAAGAAATAGCAATTATGCATATCAATTTGTGCTCAAGTGATTAATAGACTCTCTATGCTTTTAAAGTAATGTTTATATAGAATATAAACAATAAAAGGATAGTCAGAGGAAGGGGAAAAATAAAGTAACCATTTTGGTAACTCTGAATAAAGAAATTCAACTTTACCCAATAAAATGAGAAAGGAGAGATAAATATATTTGAAAATTTCTTTGATCCAACATTGTAAAAAGTAATGTTCTGTATATGTTAACCTGTCTGTATTGGATTTTTTTTATTAAGAAGTTTTCAATCTCTGTAATGTTTTACCTGTAACTTTTAATTAACTAATGATATCCTCAGAAGTATTAAATACCTTTGGATCAAAGATCATTTGAAATTTTTTCAAATATGTGTCATCTCAACTTATGTTTCACCTTGTTCATTGCCAAAAAGGTTGAGCTAAAATAGCATGAATGAAACAAGGCTTCTTTTCTACTCTGAGGATCGCAACTCACGTAGGATAAATTATAATCACATGACTCTTAAAGCTACAAGACTACAAATGCTGCATCCTCAGGGCCACACTTTAGCAGAAACAGCCAAGTTGTCAAGAAGCTACGACATAGGATGTGGCCATACAGTGTTTATTAAAAAATTCACCAAGAAATTCTGGTTTTCAGAAAATAACCAGCATGGATGTATTAAACACTGCTGATGAAGTTAAACTGGAATGTCTACACTGCATTAAGTTTTTAGAAATTGTGAAGCTTATATGAGAATGTTTTGAGGACATTTTTTGATCATTGTGGTCATGCTTATGAGTTTAAGAAGTAAAAAGAAAAAGATAAAATATAGGGCTGGAGGAGGGAAGCAAACTAGAAAATGGGGTAATTTTTGGACAAGAGTTCAAAATCAAGCTAAGAAGAGAAAAAAAAGAAAAGAAAAGAAATCCAAGCTAAATAGTACTCATACTGCAGCAGAGAATAAAAGATTTAAATGTCACAATCTTGGTATAGGTTACAAGTCAAGGATAACCCTATTTTGTTACAAAGACTAACTCTAGGAAGTTTTGCATTATAAATTAAGCAAAGGATTTTAAAAAGGAAATTTTTTTAACTGTTTAGCATAGAATTTAATATACTGACAGCATGCGTATCTCCATTTTTAAAGTGTCTAATGACCAGAATGTATGTAAATTTATGTGATGTGATGTATAAAATCATAAGGAGGTAGAATTTAATTAGAAAGCAAAACAAAGCAAAACAACAACAAAAAAAACCTGGTGCATTCCTGTTTGCTACTGACCCTCTTCAGTTGTTGTTGTAACTGTTCCCTCATGGACTCAGGACAATTGTCCAGCTGGGTCTTCTGCTCGGAGAAAAGCTCCTGAAGCTTCTCTAGTTTTTCCCTTTCAGCATCAAGCTTTACCTTCTCCTGAAGGTCAGAAATCAGAAAATAGAAGAATAGAAATTACCTTCACACCCCAAGCAGGCACTAGTGAACATTTTCCAAGGATAATACAAACAAACATACACAAACTCTGGATATCCTATGAAACATATGAAAACACATCTTGTTAGTGACTAGGAGAAGGGGGTATAGATGGAAACAAAGATAAATTGGCCCCATTTCTGCATTGAAAAATCATGGTCTACTTTGTTGGGTGTTGGCAACGAACTGCTCCCCACTCCTTCCTGTCACCATGTTAAAAAAGCAGGGAGCAATAGGGAAGTTGGTCAGGGGTCGATAAAGAACAAAATAAATGCCCATGTAATTCATATGATGGTCTTGGAAAATTCACTTGTCAGAGAACTAGACAAAGGAAAGGTATGTTTACCCCAAGTACTGCCATAACCCAATTTGTTCAAGGCATTTTAAAAAGCAAGTTTTGGAAATTATTGAAAATTTCTTCTCAGGTGAAAGGAGTTCTAGGTGTACTAGTTAACACCACACTCATATGAAACAGTTCTAATAGCTACTTGGCAAACTTCAGAGCTTAAGCAACAACAAAAAACATGATTCTAGGGAAAGCATCCAATTCTGAGACAGAGAATGTTAATAAAAATGTTACTACAATGGTTGTTAGTGCAGAGAGTTCTGCAAGATTGGCAGAGAAGCAAGAGGAGTTACATTAGGCTGCTTAGATACACAAAAATTACAGCATTTACTGAGGAGACATTGGTTTCACAATGACTGACCAAATAGAAACAACGCACAGAAACCTTGAAATGTGGACCATGGGAAAACAGAGAAAGAAGAGAAGAGGAAGGAGACGATAACATTAAACCCCTCCCATGTCACACATGATGAAGTGACCCAGGGCATAATAGAGAAAAACTGCAATGTGGTGAGCATATGGCCTCACAATGTTGTTGCTGTTGTTAAGTGCCATCAAGTTGGTTCTGACCCATAGCGACCCTGTATAGGATTTCCAAGGAGCAGCTGGTGAGCTTGAACAGATGACCTTGTCGTTCAAACTGACTTTGCAGTCCAGCACAGCTCCACAGGGCCTCACAAATGCCACCTCTTAAATCAAGATGCAAAACTTTCATCTTTAATCTGTTTAGGATCTGTCTTCCCAATTTGTGTCCCCTTTGTGATACTCTGAGTTCTCAAACCAAATTTTGAGTTAGATCTTCTCCTCAAGTATATCGAGTGTACCGTCAGCCTAAACACGAGCACATTTTGATCCTCTGTAAGATGGCCAACACCTAACTGACATCTAAACACATCGCATCAGGATCTTCTTATTTATTTTTTTAAGAATACAGTTTTGAAATAGTACTAAAAAATTATCCTTAATGATTTATTTAAGGGACATTGGTAGCACAATAGTTAAGCACCTGGCTGGCAACTACAAGGTTGGTAATTCAATGCCAAAATTTTCTCTGTGGGAGAAAAAACCTGGTAATTTGCTCCCATAAATATCTCAACCTAGGAAACTCTCTGGGGCAGTTCTACCTGTTGAATAGCATTTTAAATATTCAGAATTGATTTAGTGGCACATAGTATCAATAGCACTCTATTGATCCAAATGGCCATGATTTCTTGTGTAAAGATATATATTTAGATCCTATACAAAATACGTAAAGGAGCTCTGGTAGCGTAGTGGTTACAAATCAGGCTGTGAACCTTAAGGTCAGCAGTTCAAAACTACCAGCTGTTCCATGGGAGAAAGGTGAGGCTTTCTGCTTGCATAAAGATTTACAGCCTTGGAAACCCTGTACAAGGTCGCTATGAGTCGGAACCGACTCCATAGCACATAACCACCACCATCAATAAAATATGGTATGGTTTAAATTTAAAGCTATTATTTTTAAAACTATTAGTTTAAAACTATTAAAACCTATATCAGCTTGTTTGAGTCTCTATTTTTGCCTTTGATCTTGATGATGTTGCTATTAAGTGCCATTGAGCCGGATCCAACTCATAGTGACCCTGTATAGGATTTCCAAGGAATGGCTGGTGAGCTTCAACCACTGACCTTGAGATTCAAACCAATTTTGTGGTCCAGCGCATTAACCCACAGTGACACACCAGGGCTCCTTACATTTTAAAATGTTAGAGGCAGATTAGAAAGGTATAATTAGATTTATATATGCATATTAAATCCAGAAGTAAGAAAATTGAGACTAAAACTAAATTATTGACATAAACTACTTGCCTGTCTATTTCTCTTTCTGGACTCAGAATCATTTACAGATTCAAATTCTACAATCCCATCAGAACCCAAATTATCTAGATATTTTCAGTGAGGAATATACCGTCTTTAACACAGTCTTCAAGATGTATGCATATATTCAAAATTCTCAAGTCCTGCTAAAGGCTGAAGTGATCTCAGTTCTGTCATTAAAATCTATACTTCTTCTATATCCATTTAAATAATATAAGACTACTCTGGTTTTCTCTCATGCACATTTACCAAATCTTTAAATTACCTCAGGATTAGAACTAGAAGTGATCTCCTTTGTTTCTTTGTCATTCTCAACTTACTCCTTCGACCTCAATCATTTCATAACAAGCAAAGGGTGGTGTGATATTTTTTATAATCTGAAATTTTGAAATTTCAGGCTTAAAAACATCAGCACAATTACTGAATGTGGAGCACGGTATTACTTGTACGCCTTATGATTTGAGGAAACAAAAGAATGGGAAAAGAGCATCCTTACTCTATATTTCAATTGAAACGGATTATGAAACAAATCACTCATCAGCAGACTACAAAGAAAATGTCCTCAATCTTTAATGGCTTAGTTGCTCCCTGTGTACACAGATTGTTGAGGAGTTGGAGTTGAAAGCACCATCATCAATCTTAGAAAATAGGAATCCCAATTGTTAATCTAGGGTGGTGGTGGTGATGGCTGTGTGCTGTCAAGTCAATTCCAACTCGTAGTGACCCTGCATAGAGGCTGAAATCTCTATGGAAGCAGAAAGCCTCATCTTTCTCCCTTGAAGCACCTGGTGGATTTGAACTGCTGACCTTGTTCTTAACAGCCCAATGCGTAACCCACTATGCCACCTAATTGAACATACAAACACAGGCTAGATATAGTCTTTAGCTCCAGAATTAAAAGCTTTTCCCTAAATAAAATCAGCAATAAGCATTATTGTCTTTTTGGCTAAGAAAATGTGTTATTTCCTCTATGGATTAAAGATGGCCCTATACAGCAATACAATTTAATCTAAAAACTGTTCTATTTCTAGAGACTGTATTATCAAACTCTACAACAATTCAAATTAAAAAAAAAAATTTTTTTTTAAACAACAATTCATTGCATTTAAAGGCCGTATGTGCAAAGCCCTAAAACTTAAAAATTATATTGACTAGAGAACATTGATATAGTATTTGATAATATGGAAAGGAACTGGTCTAAACACAAGTTTCAAATCTCAAAAAGTTACCAAAGTATTCCTCAGGTGCTCTAAAATTTTTCTTACTGTTAATAACAAGCAAAGATAAAACTAGTAAAAAGTAATTAAAAAAAAAAAATACCTTGTGTTTACATAGTGCCTTCCTTCGGAAGTGCTCAAAACATTTCACAATTCCATACAAGGGGGTGGTTAGAAGAATTATGCAAGCTGGCACCATCAGAACCTTCTGCAGTTTCTCTACAGTCTATCAAGACTGCTGTGACCACGACCTGGGTCTCAGAGCAGAAGCTCGATGGGGTCAAAGCTTCAGTAAAGGAAGTAGATGGAAAGATGAAAGGAGTAGAGGCAGGTGGGTTGGGTCATAAATCACAGAGGTGATATCACTCCTGTAGGAAGCTAAGAGGAGACCAGCTCTGTGCCAAAAAGAAATGAATATTCCTCTCTTCCATTTATGGCCCAGGAAGTTTTCAAAGGGAAATTAACCCTAGGCAAGTGGTTAATCTGAGCTGAAAGTATCACTTTCCACAGTGAAGGTAAAATAAACAGATGGGCAAAATATATAGTATTTGAGGATTTTACATATAAAATATAAAAACTAAGCGCTATTCTCTCTCCTCAAGATTTAAAACAGTAAACTCACTTAGTCTAATTATTACAGGTATGATGGTATTTTCAAAACTCCAAACTGGATCGAGCACAACTTTTTTTGTTTAAAATTTATTTTTAGTAAATGAATAAAAAAAATATTTTCAATAAACTTAACAAATTTTAATTACTTTGCTTAAAAAACAAAATTACAAGGGCTTGGAACACTTCAGGAAGCATTTTTAAAAGCAAGAGCTGAATGGGACTTCCCTAGCAGCAGAAGTTGCTTTTGTTAATTATTTCTCACAATGACTTGTCTTCTCTTAATGTGTACTAGTGAAATTCAGTTGGGTCGCAAAATCACTGAGAGATCTATTTAATATATTATAAATATATGGTCAAAGATAAATTATTCATGGCTAAATTAAAAATACAAATCAGTGTATAAAATTGGGCTTATATTTGCATCCAAGTGAACTGTTCATTCACCAACTTAGTAAATGTTTATAAAACTATTAGAGATGGAGAGTGGGTAGTGAGGGCATAGAGGTAGAATTCTGGTCTTTCATGAGCGAGACCTAGGCTCAAATGCCAGACAATATACCCCATGCACACAAGTCCTGGTGTGACGCTGTGGGTTAATGTGCTGGGCTGCAAGGTCAATTTGAACCTCAAGATTGGCAGTTCAAGCTCAGCAGCCGCTCCTGGGGAGCCCTATACAGGGTCACTATGAGTTAGAACCAACTCAACGGCACTTAACAACAACAACAACAACATAACCCATGCACACTATACCATCTGTCACACTCATGTATTGCTATGCTGCTGAATAGGTTTTAACAGCACTTCCAAAATAGAAAGGACTAATGATCTATTTCCAAAAATTAGTCAGTGGAAACCCTCTGGATCACAGTGGCCCGAATCTGAAACTATTCATGGAATGGTGCAGAACTGATGAGCATTTGATCAGTAATGTA